TATGTACTTTGTGCCTCCATATAGTGTTGTTTGCCAGGCAGTACTAAGGAGACAGGTACGATATCAAAGCGTTAAGAAACATTGCTTGTGATTGTCTGACACGCGAAGCATGACCTTACAGGTATTACTGGTTGATTTTCCTTTTGTCTGTTGCATAAATAAAAGCGAGGAATCCCTTTACATATTCTATAGAAACGTCGACTGTACGATTACGAACACATAATGTGAACTTTCTAGAATGCAGACATTCGTCTGTCTGCTGCATGTAATGAACTTTAAAAAACATGTTCCAGCAATCCTTTGATCTATCACGACTGTAACAAACCGTCCTTGTATACGACTTCAGCTTTCCAATAATTGACGTTCCCTTGATATTCCTTAAGATGCTGGTTTTACCCTGACTGCAATGGGCAGCATGCATCATCGATTTTGTTCGAGTAGCCTTGTCGTAACTCTACTCATGACTTAGGACTCAGCAAGAGTTATTGTGAAATTGCATCGGAAAGTCAGCTGCAAACAACAGTTGCTTTACTTTCGTCTCGATTGTGTATCGGTTTAGGAGCTTGATCAAATTTAATCGTGGTAACAATGCACTCGACAAATTGGATAACTAAAATATGTTCTTCTTGTGCATTAATATCAACATTCGGGGAAACGGTAGTTTACTTTGGAGAGTCACTCCATGCAGCAAGGTTGCTACTGCTGAAGAAATGGGTTTTGTCTTTAGTGCATTTTCTTCTTTACAATTATCTCGAATATATTAGATTCATATTTGTCACATGCTTCATTCGTTTCAGCTCCTATTTCAGCAGCGATACAAACGCATTGAAGACGACCATTTGATGCAAGGACACTGTCGCCTCAAACGACATATTCGTTCAGGTCATATGAGTACGAAATAATATTTACTGTTTATACCAACAAACCGACTCATGGTCTATGTCCGATTGGTGATAAAAAAAAATGTATGAATAAAAATCATTGTGACAAAAGGAACACTGACAAATACTTTATGAAGACATGAAAAAATAGAATTCATCGAAGGGGAAGAAGATATGATTACACACTTGCTTACATGTGTTTTTGGTGCAAAGATAATTTCGTATGGCAAATGATAAGTCTCTGCCAAACGTCCTCAGGGGCCAACTTGTTCCACGGGAATGAGTTTGAAGGATACGGACGCAAAGAGCTCTGAAATAATCAGCGTGTATCTTAAGTCAGCAATGACGCTGTCTGATGATGAGAAAAAATAGCAATGGAGATATCTGATGATTGAAGAAATTAGGCAGTGTGGATCTTGAGTACATGCTTATTAACTCAGATGACGAGGGGAATTAGGAATATTGAGCTTGTGTAAGCTATGTAAGAGTGCTGATGATTAAAGGGTGGATCAAAATAAGCAAAGACAAGACGAGATGCTGAGGGAAATAATTAAGCAGCAAGGAACTGGAGAAAGGGATTTAAGAGTTGTGGTGATTAAAGATATCAGCAGTGTTACTAGTGTTTCCTCCAGTGGGTTTTAACAGGGTGCTGCGTCCTGCCCTACTTACTAGCGCCTTGCCCTTTTTCTTGCGTCCTACCCTTTTTTTGTAGTGACCTCACCTTTTTATCTGATGCCTGCCCTTGCTGAAGTCGCGGCAATCCTGTACCGAGTCTTCTGGTGAAGACTGGCTGTTAAAGACTCCAGAGATGTTTCTTGACAGACTAGTAACCAGTTTGAAACAGAGGCTTATCGATATGCCTGTCCTTAACAGCTCAGCATCCCCTGACCTCGGTAACGCTTGTGTTGCTATTTTCGTGGCACTTTATGGAGATGCAGATGTCTGTAACTTTTGAGAGTTTCATTAATATAATAAACTATCTTCGTGTAGTCATGGTAATGAGACAAGAGTTTATGAAAAAATACACAAGTCATATTTTATCATGTTTCATTCATTATGATTATGCAATTACAACAGTGAAATATGTCTTTTGTCTCCATTATTTATCAATTAAATGCATGATCATATGCACCTTATAGCCATGGAAGTCCCTTTCATATCGTGCTAATATCGATATTGTATGCCTGTTATTTCAGATGTCTGAACTTGCAGACAACTTTGGATTGGATCCAGACCAGACTCTAACGAAGTAGACAAGGAGATGTTCTCTGAAGGTTTTTGTTATGATGGTTGCTCTGGGCCACTTCATTACAGACAGCCGACATGCAGTTGTACTATTGACGAATTTAATTTTTTTTCACTCATAATTACGACAAGATCTCCCTTATATATTTGGTATGTCTTTTGGTATGTTGTAATTGTTGTGCGGATACTCTCAAAGTAGGATTTCCGACTAATACTTTACTTTTGCACCTGATAAACCTGATAGATTATTGACTTAAAATGTTGTACATTTATGGTGTCACGTTTTTTTTTAAAAAAAGTCCATCAAAATATGCAAAGCAGCCTGTATCACTTCAAGATTGTTTAATCAACACATGTCGTCATGCATCACTCATCATAATTATCTATCATAACTGGATCATATAACTTCTAATTGTATACTTGTATGTTTCATTTCTTGTGAAATATGTCCACTTTAAGATTTACGACTTTGAATTGTATCATATGATCAACTTGAGAACACAAATCTCACAACGACAATATGTCTCCATTCTTCCTATACATGTTGTCGCAACACGACGCTCGTCGGTTCCACGCAATCGGTTAAGATTTGCGTAACATTTGTTTTCCTCCCACTCACTGGTGTTTTAATTATACGGCTGACATACATTTAAAACATTTACGTTCAACAGCACACACATCATTCACTCTCGTTCAGCCAGTGAGTTTACTCAATATATTAAGTTAATAGTCATGCAAAGTGAATGTGTAGTTAAAGTGTTTGCTCCCTGTTACATTGGCTAATATGAAAGAAACTAATATTTACTCCTTGATTGACATTCATGGCACTGTCTTTAATGTGCTATTTATCATGTACACAATAACAGCGACTTCCAAACCTTCGAAAGAAACAGCCAATAGTCATCTTCCGAATGTCCCAAGTTGTAGCTTCTCACATCATCAGATCTCGTCCTTGTCCACAATGTTAGCTTCTCACATCATCAGATCTCGTCCTTGTCCACAATGTTAGCTTCTCACATCATCAGATCTCGTCCTTGTCCACAATGTTAGCTTCTAACACCATTAGGTGTCCTCCGTGTCCACAGCGTCAGCTTCTCACATCATCAGATCTCGTCCTTGTCCACAATGTTAGCTTCTCACATCATCAGATCTCGTCCTTGTCCACAATGTTAGCTTCTCACATCATCAGATCTCGTCCTTGTCCACAATGTAAGCTTCTAACACCATTAGGTCTCCTCCGTGTCCACAGTGTCAGCTTCTCACATCATCAGATCTCGTCCTTGTCCACAATGTTAGCTTCTCACATCATCAGATCTCTTCCTTGTCCACAATGTTAGCTTCTAACACCATTAGGTCTCCTCCGTGTCCACAGTGTCAGCTTCTCACATCATCAGATCTCGTCCTTGTCCACAATGTTAGCTTCTCACATCATCAGATCTCGTCCTTGTCCACAATGTTAGCTTCTAACACCATTAGGTCTCCTCCGTGTCCACAGTGTCAGCTTCTCACATCATCAGATCTCGTCCTTGTCCACAATGTTAGCTTCTCACATCATCAGGTCTCTTCCTTGTCCACAATGTTAGCTTCTCACATCATCAGATCTCGTCCTTGTCCACAATGTTAGCTTCTAACACCATTAGGTCTCCTCCGTGTCCACAGTGTCAGCTTCTCACATCATCAGATCTCGTCCTTGTCCACAATGTTAGCTTCTCACATCATCAGATCTCGTCCTTGTCAACAATGTTAGCTTCTAACACCATTAGGTCTCCTCCGTGTCCACAGTGTCAGCTTCTCACATCATCAGATCTCGTCCTTGTCCACAATGTTAGCTTCTCACATCATCAGATCTCGTCCTTGTCCACAATGTTAGCTTCTAACACCATTAGGTCTCCTCCGTATCCACAATGTCAGCTTCTCACATCATCAGATCTCGTCCTTGTCCACAATGTTAGCTTCTAACACCATTAGGTCTCCTCCGTGTCCACAGTGTCAGCTTCTCACATCATCAGATCTCGTCCTTGTCCACAATGTTAGCTTCTCACATCATCAGGTCTCTTCCTTGTCCACAATGTTAGCTTCTCACATCATCAGATCTCTTCCTTGTCCACAATGTCAGCTTCTCACATCATCAGATCTCGTCCTTGTCCACAATGTTAGCTTCTCACATCATCAGGTCTCTTCCTTGTCCACAATGTTAGCTTCTCACATCATCAGGTCTCTTCCTTGTCCACAATGTAAGCTTCTCACATCATGAGTTCTCTTCCTTGTCCACAATGTTAGCTTCTCACATCATCATGGGCTCTTGCTAACTTAAGTTCCCTCTGATAATTTCTCTCGTCGCACGAGCTCTTCTATCTTACTTAAATCCACACTGATAATATCGTTAACCATCAGAACTTTCAAATTGCTTCCTCCAACTCTTTTCTGCTAATTTCTCTTTGCGCATTCTATATCCACCCTGCTAATGTCGTTTATGTCCAGAGCTCTTAAATCGCTTCCTCTAGCTCCATGACGCCAAATTCTCTCATCCTCTGAGCTATCAATCATTTACTCAAGATCCACACTGCTACTTTCTTCCATCATTGGAGCTCTCCCTCGCTAATTTCTTTCATCAAAAGGCTTCATTGACCTTAGATGCTTCGGAGCTCCTTCAAAGTCATCCCCATTAACAATGCCCCCTTAAGACATTTATTGTGATTAATTACGAAGTTTAAGAAGAAACTAATAAATTACCCTCGCAGCGAAAACCATGTGTAAGAAGGTTTTGTCTTCTATGGAGGCGTATTGGTGCCACGGTCTAAAATTATATATATCTACGTAGATAATACTCACATGTACGTAGGTGATACTAACATGTACGTAGATAATACCAACATGTACGGAGGTGATACTAACATGCACGGAGGTGATACTAACATGTACGGAGGTGATACTAACATGTACGGAGGTGATACTAACATATACGTAGATGATACTAACATGTACGGAGGTGATACTAACATGTACGGAGGTGATACTTACATGTACGGAGGTGATACTAACATGTACGGAGGTGATACTAACATGTACGGAGGTGATACTAACATGTACGGAGGTAATACTAACACGTACGGAGGTGATACTTACATGTACGGTGGTGATACTAACATGTACGGAGGTGATACTAACATATACGTAGATAATACCAACATGTACGGAGGTGATACTAACATGTACGGAGGTGATACTAACATGTACGGATGTGATACTAACATGTACGTAGATAATACCAACATGTACGGAGGTGATACTAACTTGTACGGAGGTGATACTAACATGCACGGAGGTGATACTAACATGTACGGAGGTGATACTAACATGTACGGAGGTGATACTAACATGTACGTAGATAATACTAACATGTACGGAGGTGATACTAACATGCACGGAGGTGATACTAACATGTACGGAGGTGATACTAACATGTACGGAGGTGATACTAACATGTATGTAGATAAAACCAACATGTACGGAGGTGATACTAACATGTACGGAGGTGATACTAACATGTACAGAGGTGATACTAACATGTACGGAGGTGATACTAACATGTACGGAGGCGATACTTACATGTACGGAGGTGATACTAACATGTACGGAGGTGATACTAACATGTACGGAGGTGATATTAACATGTACGGAGGTGATACTAACATGTACGTAGATAATACCAACATGTACGGAGGTGATACTAACATGTACGGAGGTGATACTAACATGCACGGAGGTGATACTAACATGCACGGAGGTGATACTAACATGAACGGAGGTGATACTAACATGTACGGAGGTGATACTAACATGTACGGAGGTAATACTAACATGTACGGAGGTGATACTAACATGTACGGAGATGATACCAACATGTACGGAGGTGATACTTACATGTACAGAGGTGATACTTACATGCACGGAGGTGATACTAACATGTACGGTGGTGATACTAACATGTACGGAGGTGATACTAACATGTACGTAGATAATACCAACATGTACGGAGGTGATACTAACATGTACGGTGGTGATACCAACATTCACGGAGGTGATACTAACATGTACGGAGGTGATACTAACATGCACGGAGGTGATACTGACATGTACAGAGGTGATACTAATATGTACGGAGGTGATACTAACATGTACGGAGGTGATACTAACATGCACGGAGGTAATATTAACATGTACGGAGGTGATACTAACATGTACGGAGGTGATACTAATATGTACGGAGGTGATACTAACATGTACGGAGGTGATACTTACATGCACGGAGGTGATACTAACATGTACGGAGGTGATACTAACATGTACGGAGGTGATAATGAAACATAATGGAAATAATTCAATGGGTCACCAAAGAGCAACTTAAAGTTTATCCCGAATGCTTTCTATGGAAATCAATTTAAATGTTTATATGAAAATACAAGCGCCATGCCGGGAATAAGAAGAATCACAGAAACCAGGCTGCACAAATGGTGGCCAAGGTTTGTAATGTCATGGCATGGTGCCAGCATCGATACAAGAATGCTGGGTCCGCGTATTAGGGGTGCCGTTTATCAGAATAGGCACAATCATTCGGGACTTTGTACCATGATCGTTAGTTAAACTGCGTTTTGTCTAGCCATTATGTCCATATCCGTAGTAATATTTTTTGTAGCCAGCCAATCAAGGGTAATTATGTATTGGATTAAGTTACTTAGAATGATGCCTGATAGATACCCATATCAGTGTTACAAAATGTACTTGATGATAATGGAAAAAAATGATTGGGTTTCAGATGTGAGAAATCTATTATTTGTCAGTGGCTTTTCATATGTATGGATTTCTAAAGATGTGGGAGATCCACAGTTATTTTTATATTTATTTAAGCAAAGACTGAAGGATATATTTTGTCAACAGTGGCACCAAAGTATTTCTTGATCACTTTATCTCAGCAATTACAGCTAAGTGATATCATTGTTACAAACTGAAAGATATTTAACTTCTTTAAATGATAAAAGTTTAATCAGAGCTTTTTGTAAACTTATAATTTCATTGCATAATTTTAATTTAAATATGTGTCGCAGGTCCAAAGACGGTGATATTGTGAACTCTATTTGTATAAACTGTTGATCCGGAGAAATAGAGGATGCATACCATGTCTTACTTACATGTGGAACGTATTCCCATTTAAGGTATACATTTCTCCCCATGTTGCAAGGTATTTTTAAAGACCGTCAGTTAATGATAAATCTGCTAAACTCTTAAAATCCTGATATGATCCATGCTGTTTCTGTATTCTTAAAGATGTCTTTATAATGAGGAATGTGTAACTTGATTTAAAATCTAATCGTGTACTTCACGTGACAAATGTTAATATCCAATCTGCATTGTACTATGGGCCTTGATGCCTAAAGTATTTAATAAACTGTCAGTCTGTCTGTATATCCATATTTAAGTCACATTTTTAGTCGTTTGCGTTAAATTCTTGACACATGTCAAAAGCGAATATACCTGAAACAAGTATTAATATTTCATTGGGAACTTTCATGAAATATTTTCATGAAGTGACGTTCGTTTGCAGCTCAGTATATGTAACATTAATAATAACGATCGATGTCATTGACCTTTTAGCTTGACATGTCTTTATTGAGGTACTATCTAGCATTAAATAAAATAAATCTTCATTTCAATGTGTCGAAGCTACTAAAGAATACCGCGCCTTTTATTGGTTTCGTGCATAACCTCGGTCGTGTTTGACATCAATAACACCATTATTGTATAAGTTGCTTATCCAAGTGTGTAATTATGTTTCCTTCAGCTTCGAGAAATTACATTGAATGTCTTCATAAAGTAAATGTAAGTGTCCATCTGTCACAACACATTTTCATTCACATATAACTTTATTGGCGTTTGAACATGAATCATCACTCGGTTTGTTGGTATAAACATTAGATATTGTTCCGTACTCAATTGACCTGAACGATTATAGTCGTTTTGAGGTACTTTGATCAAACGATCTTTGGTGTCCCTATATCGGTGCTATAAGAGATTACAAAATATATTAAGCATGTTACAATTATGAAACATATATTTGTCACGAAGAATATGTATTAAACACGAAATCGGTGGTAATTTCATCAACAACAGCAAACAAGCTGCATGTTACCCTCCAACGTAAACTGCCGCTTCCCTAGATCTCTATATTAGTGCACGAGAAGTAGATATGTAGTAATCGATAATGCCCATTGCATTCAGAGTTAAACCAGCATATTGAGCCAACATTGGCAGGGTAAGAGGCAGAATCGGGGTTAACGCGTATGTCGTTTATACCGGACGTGTCAGCTGGATGTGGAATGAAAGTACAAATGAATCTGGTCCTAATGCTTACTACTCTTGCACAACCGAGCATGGACAAATCACGAATCATTGTCAGCACGAATGGGGGATTCGAACCCGGAATCTTTGGTTTCATCACACCTGTCTGTTGGTAAAGCTGATAGTACTCGATGTTTTGTTCAAATGACGTGATTGTGTCACGCTCTGAATGATGTTCCTTATGTCACCTAGTATGAATGTTGTTCGTCGTTCTGAATTGGGGTGTGGGGTGTGGGGTGTGGGGTGTGTGTGTGTGTGTGTGTGTGTGTGTGTGTGTGTGTGTGGGTGGGTGGGTGGGGGGGGGGGGGGGGGTCTGGTAGCCTGGTGGTTTAAGCGTTCGCTCGTCACGCCGAAGACCCGGGTTCGATTCCCGACATGGGTACAATGTGTGAAGCCCATTACTGGTGCCTCCCGCCGTGATATTGCTGGAATATTGCTAAAGCGGCGTAAAACCATACTCATTGGGTGTATTTCCTTTTCCTTGTGCGCAATTGATTAAAATCATTTAAACACTTCTTGATCTTTCAGGTAAACGTGACTCTCATACGACTTCTTTGAGGTGTACGATCTACAGAAATTTCAAAGAATGGATACACAGATGTGTACGATCTACAGAAGTTTCAAAGAATGGATCCACAGTTGACTACAGACTACATTCCTTCAGAGACGCGATCCTAAGAGTCATACCTACATGTTTTCATTGGTATTTGAGATTTCAAGAGTTTTAACATGTTTTACCTTTCCAGCATCACATCGGTCCAGATACGTGTGGAATTAACAGGATGACTGCGTCAATGCACTACGACACTGTTATCAGATATGAAATCTCCTAAACATTAGTGAATTTTTTTGAGTAGTGTTTACATAAACAAGAACTTATATACATAGATCATTTGATAAGTCACATGATAGCAGCTTGCTTCTATCGCATTCGCCAAACCTAACGTGATGATATCACATATGACTTGTAATAGGTAATGTATACAGGTAAAAACATTATCCATGATCGCACGATTTCCAAAAGAATACACATTCCTTCAGAATAGCAAAAGCTGTAATATGTACACCGTACTTTCCTGTGTGTGGTATGATTTTCCCACCATTTGCCAAGGCCTACATAGTAGCAGATAAAGCCACGGCATCTCTCAGTTTGCTCGCCATGTTGCTGAGGTAACGCTCTAATGTTGTATTATTTGCCATAAAACTATCTCCTGGTCCTTGATCTCAATTGCATTAACGCTGTGTCTAAAAAGATACACTTGCTAAACAGATAGCATAGTCAGCAAAGTTGATACTTTCCCTAAAATAAGCTTTATTAATATTGATTAACGTGTTGTTGCCATTCAAAAGTTTCACTGAGCGGCATGAACGGCATCAGTTGGTGAAGCATTAGGACTTTATTACTAAAGGGCAATGGTTCAACAGCATTTTGTGTCTTAGTGCAATATTTAGCAATTCGAAGAGAAATGATGAACAGAAGTACAACTCCTGTAATATGATACCGAGATAGAAACATTCTACTTCTTTCACTGTTAATATTTCAAGTTACTGTAGTTAATTCTTTCTTTCTGACGAAGCTGTTAGAGACAACCAGAAATCCTTCAAAACAAATAACTTTGCGACAAACGCCGGAATTTATCCACAGGCAATATTAGCCTCACTAACAAAGTCTAACGATTTTATCATAATATAAATATCCTTACTGAGATATTCCTCTAGTCAACGTCTATGCAGTTGTTACTGACACTTTTGTTAAACAATATCAAACACTTGAGGCCTGCCTCACGTCATTGAGGAGATAAAACACACACACACACACACACACACACACACACACACACACACACACACACACACACACACACACACACACACACACACGTGTTTGACGCTAAACACGCCTCATCTCACCTCACCTATGAACACAGTGACATGACTTCACATTTCAAGTTTCTTATTTATAAGTGTAGATGCTTGAGGACAGGAGTGATGTGTGACGTACGTGATGTCCTTGCCACAATCGAGGCTGTCGTGTTCTGCACTAACTGGAGACGGCCTAGCGTTTGCTTTGAAACCCCCACAACAAGCTGTTTTCATAGTCTAGCCGATACAACACCAAAGACTGAATCAGGTTCCTAGCCGCCTCTGTGTTGACGTGATGCCTTATCTTACCAATGCATCTTAAGTGAAGGTAGCATGATCTGTAAAGATGCCTAATTTGGGCATCATATGTGAGGTTTGAGTTCATGATTATACCCAGATTTTCACATTGTCCATGAAGTCAATCTGCGATTGTCTAATGGTAATGGTTGTGTCTGCTACACTGCAAAGTTGATGTTTCGTTCTAGTAGGGCTTCGGTTTTGTCGTCATTTAACTTAAGCCTCCTTGATGGCATCCACGACTTAATGTCAATAGAGAGCTCAGTAAGGTGACCCAGCGATACTGGTGTTTCTGTTGCTTTAAATGCATTGAGCAGTACGTTAAAACATAGCCGCCTTTCATGGCAAGCATTTAGGCAAGAGATAGGCTTTCCTATAGGCACCAACTCTGTATCCCTTCTTGCTGGTCTGTTTTTCTATGCCTGCTAATCGAAATTTCTGCTGAGACGAGAGTTTTGTCTCAAGACGTTTAACGAACTAAGTTTCATGTATATAGACGATCTGATATTGTTCCAATAGACAGTTCCCTTATACTGATTTGAAATATAGGATACCAATGAAACCAAATCATCTTTGATATGTTTGTACAAAAAGCATGCTCGATTGACATGTAGACACCAAAAGTTTGAGCTGCTTGAATACTGCTGTCCAGAAACAGAAATTTTGCCATTGGAACGTTAGGGAAGACGATAACATGGTTTGTATATCGTTGCAGCTAAAGTGAGTGAGTCAATGCTTTACGTCACATCGGCAATATTTCAGCCATATCGTGACGAGTTGTAGCTAAAGCCCATACAAGACGACAATAACTGCTG